GTTACGAAAATACTCAATTGGTATTCACTAATTGGTCAAAGACTGAAAAAGGTGTCAGCTGTTCAGTAATAATCGGTTCAGAAAGTGTTCGTTATTCTTTACCAAATATCATTAGAATTAATATCATTACTCAGTAATCACGATAATTTTTAGTATGTTCTGAATTACTTTCGGTTCTTACTTACATTTGCAATAATTCCATTAATAACAATTATATGATTTCAATGATTAATTCTATGATTAACCTCATTCAATTCTTTGATTAACTTAATTCTATAGTTTCTACTTTTAAATAAAAAGCCATAAATTTCATGCGGATCCCAGTCTATGCAGGTATAGAGGGCAATGCTCTATCTAATACTGCTGCTAAAGAAGCTTGTGGCCTACTTCCAGTAACCCGACTTTCTGTCCATTGCCAGATTAAAAAAAAAAAAAAAAAAAAAAAAAACATGTATAGAATGAAAATTAACTACGGGTAGACAAAACTTACAAACTAAAAGCAGTTAGACAGACAGCAGATCTTTGGAATATTGTGACTAATAAAAGAAAAGAAGAAGTTACAATAAGAAAATTGAGGATCGGGCAGACAAAGCTTACTCACACCTATCTAATGGAAAGTAAACCTCCACCAATACGTAACAGTTTCCGGCAACAATTAACAGTCAAACATATATTAGTTGAAATAAGAAGAAAACTCAGGATCAACAGACAAAATCTAATTGTATTAATTAAAAGGAAAACAAATTTCAAGACCTTATAAGAACTTGTAAATTATAAAAGAATGATTCCTTTAATCTTATATCATGTGCCAAAAATTTTAAATAAAATAATATATTAAAAATATAATCCATATAAAAATGTATTGGTTAGAAACAAATAAAATGTACATACTTAGACTATATAACAAGTGTATATAATATTTCTAAATAGAGCAAGAAGAGAAAATTCTGTTTCAGTACAAATTAGATCATACATAAATATAAATTAAACAATACATATATAAACTAACTTCTAAAAACAAGACATGCTTGTAATACACATGGCAAAAGAAATATACATGTTCAGAAAGACAGCAAAATAAATAACAGTACGGTGACAAATTATTTTTGACACAAAAGGTGTGCATTGGTCATCCTTGATTATAAAGTAAGTTGGAAGAAGTAATATTAATTAACTCAAAATATTTTAAGAACAAAAATTTAATATTCTTTTAAATATATTAATTCTTTCATCCTCATGTCAACAAACTTGTGTGCTCAAATTAATGACGCTTCCTAATTCTAGTTTGATAAAGACTGAACTGTAAACACACGTGTGCATTAGAGAATCGATCAATTTATAGAGGACTGACAATCTTTGTAATAATATTCATTTTGGATATTCCCAAATCTAGTGCCAAACACATCTTATGCCAACTATTTGAATGCAAAATGGGCAAAATCATCTGCACACTGTGCTGTAAGTGACATAAAGAAGACTAAGAAATTATCACCGAGAACTTTGTCACACAATGGTTTGAATATACTGATTATTAAAGTATACTAATTTTTATCTTTTTAGGATTATAAAATTAGTACAGGTAATGAATGAGATTCAAAAAAAATTATTGTATTTAGTCGCCCAAATATTATTGAATCAGATTTTTTTTTGTTCACTACTCGATAAACAGCATAATGGCTACATTAAAAAAAAAAAAAAAAAAAAAAAAATTAAGTAATCTCTAATTTCAGAGGATCTTAAAATCTACGAGTTGGCCATCAAGTGAGTCAATCAAATCACATTCAATGAATGTCTTTAAACTTTTTTATAGTAATGCAAAGACGATGTGATAATTGAATTCAACACTTTAGTACTTTGGTTCCATTATAAATCAATATCACTTTTATAGCTAAGCATTATTAATAAAATTCTCAGTATAATTAAGCTTTATAATGCTTGTTATTTAAAATATATAACCTTATCCAAAAATCAATAGAAAATAATCAGCAGAGACTGAATTTTTTCGTAGTGGAAAATATTTGCAACAAAGTATATAAGCAAATGTTAAATATTTTCAATTCAAGCTAAGTAGAAAACATGATATAATATAAACTAAGTTCAGTAAACTAACAGAACAAACATAAATGTTTTTAGGTCATATTATGATTTAAAATCTCGGAACAAGATTTCCATAACTATAATGATACTATGGTAAGAAATAAAAATAGACAAAACAAAATTAGTCATGTATGAGACAGGGGTGATGAAGAATTGAAAAAATATTGGTTTCAAACACTACAAAATAATAAATAAAAATGATAAATTATTAAAATTGGAAAAAATAAAATCTTCAAATAATTTCCTTAAATTATGATACATTCAAATTAAACAAAAATATGTTCCCCCTATTATGCAAGTATGTACTAAATAAAAATTATTTAAATTTTGTCCAAACGCACATATTCATATAGACATTTGTATGACTGCACAAAAACAGGCAAACTTAATGTATTTTATCAAAATCAGATCTTTGAACAACAAACGGTGTACCACTGTAATTTACATGTACTCTGTGGTTCAGAATGTATTATTTTTTATCAACATGAAATAAATAAAAAAAAAACGAAACACACAGTTTGCAAAAATTTTTAATTTCTTTAAAAATCTATATTATACATTGTGCCTTATTGTCAATTCATATTATTATATAATTATAATTAGTCTTATTGCCAATTTGTGGTCATAATAAGGGAGAAATAATTCTAGGAATAAGAAGTGTGGTGTCTTTGTTAAAGTCCGTCCCACTTTGTATATGTAAAATAAAATATTACACAGTCATCACTAAACACTTTTTTACATAATAAATCAAAATATTCAAGTATAAGATAATCAATGTTAAAATTAGGTCAACAACTAATCTAGATTAACTAAAATTGAATTCTTACAAATTCTCTGTAATCCTTTTTGACATTTCAGTATTTTGAAACTTAAGATTTTCTTTAATTTTGTCAATATAAATATTAGTGAAACTATTACAACCAATACAATTAAACAATCAATCGGTTACTTAATACATGAATGTCAAATTAAATGATATATATAAATTGCAGTAGTTTTATAAAAATTTCAATAAGTTATAGAAGAACATTTTAAATTGTAGAAAACATTTTTTTTTACTCCTTACCCTTAAATATTTTTAATTAATGCGATATTATGAAAAAGAACTGACAAAAATATGGGGAATAGATGTATGAGGCTAAGATAATATATACAATAAATAATATACCTGATTCAATATACCAAAACAATGTTTTAAGTTTTTGAAATACCAGTAAAATCAATCAATATTTTGTAAGAATCATCAGCCAAAAAAAAAAAAAAAAAAAATCATAAGAACACATAATTCGCTCATCTTACATCCAGCCAAAAATTATTTATACATTTTCTTTTTTACAAATATATTTCAGTGACCAACAAGAATAGTAAATCATAAGTGAAAAAGTATCAATTTAGTTAATCTTAAAATATTATTAATAAATAAAATTAAAGCATCTTCAAAGGAGAGAGAACAACAATAATACTGCATGGCTGCTCAATTGCATTGAGTTGCTAAATCACACAGCAAACTCAATCGATCAAAAGATAATATTTTTTAAAAAACAACAATAGAGTTAGGTGGGGGCACTGCAACAGATAATATGCCAAGAATAGTATTAGTGTTGCCCAAAATCGGTCTTGGTCTTGCATTTTGCAGAACCAAGACCAAGGCCGCTGAACTGTTACAAGACCAAGAAGAGGACTGGTAAACAGAAATCGATTTTTTAAATAAAAATTTTGGCAAAATAGTTACTAATACCTGACAATTTTAGTTACTATATGTTAAAAATTGGTATAACCAATTTACTTTTGCATTTAATTCCTCTAATTTTTCATTCGGGCTTAATTAGGTTTCTCCTATCTAAAAAATTACATTAATATGTCTGTAGTAATAAGCTTATAAGTAACTGCAAGAATGTTGGGAGACTATTGCGCAAGATCGAGATCATGACCAAGACTGAGTTTGCAAGAACAAGCAAGACCTGTCTCGGTATCGCAATAGGGAAACACTAAATAGTATATAGGATCAAAGAGGCGAAGGCCAAGATCAATCAACATATGTAAGAAATAGATAAAATTCGGCATTTAAATTACTGTCACAATATTTGAATAAAGAAAAACATAACTGCAATTAAGACAAAGCCAACTTTAGAGAAAAAATTGTTGTAATATGCCAGGCACATACCATACCTTAAATATGAGAAGGAATTAGTCGAGGGTGCGGTCAAAAAAAATAAAAAAAAAATTAAAATATATAAATAATTTTAATTTTAATTAAAATTATTTATATATTTTAATTTTTTTTATTTTTTTTGACCGCACCCTCGACTAATTCCTTCTCATATCATATCAACGGTCAACCAACTCTACATCATACCTTAAATATGTAACTTCAGTTTCATATGAATTTTCTTATTTGAAAAACGCTGTTCATAATTTTACAAACCATTCTGAAACTTGTTGAGTTTTAAACATATTATCCATAAAAAATACGTATTGGAAAGTTTTTACTTCGATCCTGTACATTCTCTTACTATGTAATTTTATTTTATTTTTTCCATTCCATACTAATCCTATAAGTGGGTTATATTTTTCCATATAATTCATAGTAAGTAGAAGAAATAAATTGAAATATACATTTATTTTAAATTGTGTAAAATTCGTTTTGTAGTTCGATTATAATGAATTTATGAAAGGCACTTTTAATAAAAGTGTATAATTATTTGTTTAAATAAACAATAAACAACAAACGTTAAAAAAACAAACGTTACAATTTGCTATTGTAAAAGAGAATCAGAGTTCTTTTTCTTTATGTATGAAATAATGATAACAAAATACCATTACATATTGAGTTAACTACCTTATTCCGGTGTTGAGGCCATTAAACAAAACTGAAGTGAATTATGGAGTAACATCCTTTTGTATTTGTGTGAATATATAATGCCATTCCGCAGTCTGGTGTGTCAGTCGTCTTCCATCAACATGAAGGCAGCAGTGGTCTTGTGTGTCATCGCTATAGTATTGGTAATGTTAACTAAATCTATAATTTATAAATCTTCATATTTTTATATATTGTGTTAAATTATTAGACAATTCTCACCTACTTCTCACCTACAAGTTTTGGAGCGTTGTAAACAAATACGAAAAAAAAATTATTAATTTGTGGTAAACATGGTTAAACCAAGATAATTGCTAACATATCATGAAAGTATGGAATTTCGAAGCACGGATTAATAAACAGGGTATCCACACGCATGCAGTATGCCATGTTATAAATCTTTCGGATTCCTTTTTTTAGGAAATAAGTGTTTTTTTTTTACAATATTTAGTGAGCTTCAAATATTGGGTATTGAATTATGAAAATTAGGTATGAAAAGAAAGGGTTCGTTCAGTGGCGGCCTTAAAGGAGGCGGGGGGCAATTGCTTCATCACTTGTTAGAAATTTAAAAAAAATACAAAAGGTATTAAAATAGTTCATTTTTGTCTATCAATAAAGCAAGTGCATTAGAGAAATATTGAAACAAAATTAAAATATTACATTATGTACAACAGCTTAACAAATAAATTTAATTTGTTTATGGGAGGGGGGGGGGGAGAGATGACATCATTGCCTGTTGGAGCCGAATGGGCGTCAATGCGTTCGTTCAAGAACGAGCAACGCGATTTTTAAAGTAGATATCAGCCTTTGGCATTCGTCTCAACAAAATGTTATTATAAACTATCATCACACAGCACTAACGGATCCAGGATTTAATTTTGGGAGGGGGAGGCTTCAGCCCGAAAGATTTTTTTTTTGTATGTATAAATCAGGATAATTACTTCGAAAAAAAGAAAGAAACCAACTACCTATAAGAAATGGTGTTTAAGTGATTATTTAAGTTCTATTAAATGTAATTATGTGAACCACTAGCGGATCCAAGGTTTAATTTTTTTTGGGGGGAGGGGCTTCATCCCGAAAGATTTTTTTTCATAAAAATAACGATAATTACTTTGGAAAAAAGAAAGAAACTAACTACCTGTATGAAATGGTGTTAAAGTAAGGCCTAAAGCCCTTTTAAATGTAATTGCACGAACAACAATACTTTGAGAGATAATTTTTTAATATTTTTTTCAATAAAACATGGTTATATTTCCCCATTTCGGGAAGAGGGAGGCTTCAGCCCGAAAGCCCTCTCCCTGAGAGGGAGATGAACAATAATACTTTTAGAGATAATTTTTTTCATAAACTAGGGTTATATTTTACCATTTTGGGAGAGGGAGCTTCAGCTGGAAACCCCCTCTCTGTAGATCAGCCTGTGTCACACACCGTTGTTTTTCTGGAAAATTAGTGAATTCAGAAACATAAGCTTTTTTCGTTTTTTTATCTGTTAGGATTCATAAAATAAATAGTTACCGATGTGTGAAAATGACAAACTTTGAACTTTCATATTTATAGATTCCTTTAGTAAGTGCGGAACTAACAATGATACATTTCCTGCAAACTAAAATGACTTGAAAAGTAGTTAATTATTCGTATTTTTTTGACAGAATAATCTTTAACTAAATGCAGATGTATTCAATATTTAAATATTTTTTGTTTTGACAGAAAATAGATTTCATAAAAAAAAAAATTAAATTAAATGAATGATGTTATCAATTAATTTAAGTATATTTTTGTCAAAAAGTATGTTATTCAAAATTAGCTTTAACAGTTTTAGCTTATAATTTAAATTAACAGCTTTGGGTTATCTTTAATTTTTTAAAAATAAAATAATTTTATTATTTTTGTAATGTATTCAGGCTCTGGTAGAGTGCCAGAATGGTCCACCAAGTGGCACTGGATCTAGTGGCAACCCACCTAGTGGCACACCACCCAGCGGATGCCCACCATCTACAGGCACAGCACCTCCTGGCGCACCACCACCACCCCCACACTGCACCCAGAGTGGAACCACATCTCAAGGTATTAATAATCATTGATGATAAAGTTATAATTAATTTTTTTCACTTTTCTTAAATGTTTTAAAACAGTAAATGGGAAATAAGTCTTATCTACTGTGGACATTTGATCCAAGATCGTATAAGGCACACAAATCAGAAAATATTCAGCAAGCAACTGAATGTATTCGTACTATTTATTCATAAGAAATTTTGGATCACAACTGAAGCTGCGTTCATAACAAGCAAGATATCTTTAGATGAAGTTCAGATACCCCATTCCAAGAAATAGTAAAACTTAAAAAGTACCTAACTACTTGTTTGATGACTAAACTTCAACTAAGTTCTCTTTCAAGATTTTGATTCGTTATACAGGATCTCTAACTTCTAAATTGGAAAATTGTAGAAACTTCTTTTTTCTTTTTTTTTCCTGGGAAGTTGTCAATTTATTAAGTTGCTTGGCAATAATAACTTCCAATTATTAACAATACGAGTATATTTTTTTAACATTACATGTTACAGTCTAGTTGATGTTTCGGGACCTTTTATTCCCATCTTCAGAACTGCAATTCCAATACTCTTGTGGATGCAAGGCTTAATTCTAATGATTATAATAATGTGCTCCATCGTCAATTTTCTAATTTATGTTCTAAATTTTATCATCTAGAGCAACATTCTCCTTTTGACCAATAATTGGGTTTCTGCCATAGTGAAAATTTGACCTTTGGAAACCTTTAGATCCAAAGGTCAAATTTTCACTGTGGCAGAAACCCAATTATTGGTCAAAAGGAGAATGTTACTCTAGATGATAAAATTTAGAACATAAATTAGAAAATTGACGATAGAGCACATTATTATAATCATTAGAATTAAGCCTTGCATCCACAAGAGTATTGAAATTGCAGTTCTGAAGATGGGAATAAAAGGTCCCGAAACATCAACTAGACTAACATATAATGTTAAAAAAATATATTCGTATTGTTAATAATTGGAAGTTATTATTGCCAAGCAACTTAATTGTAGAAACTTATTTTACAGCTCAAAAACAGTGAAAAGTTTTTAACATTTGTATTTAAACTTAACTCGTTTATAAATCTTTTATTTTACAGTAAGTAAATCATAAAAGTTGTTCTATATTATTTGTTTTAAATAGTGTTTTATTTCGTTAAAATTTTTACATTTGTTGTTTCCTTACAGCAGTTATTTGTTTTATATAATTTTGGTTATCAGAGTAGAAAGTTACACGGTTAAAAGTATATCAATTAGTTAACTTAAAAATATGCTATTTTTATCGCAATTGTATTGATAGGGATAGATAGTGATTCACCATCTTCCATTTTTTTTTTTTTTTTATTGTCTATTAAAATTAGAAGTTAATTCTAATTGATAAAGAATACAAATTATTAAATTAAGGTAACTATGTAATATTATAAATTATTATCAACTAATTTAACTACTGGCCTTGGCACTGAGAGATTAATAAGTGATCAAACATAATATTAAAATAACATCTATACTTCCTTATAATCAATATCTTAACCTTACAAAATTTTATATTAAATTATTTATATTTTTATAAGAAATTCTACTTAAAACATTAATCTTTACAAATTATATATTTATATTTTCAGACCAGTCTACAACAGGATGAGCCAGAAAATTCCAGAATGTATGAAAATGTCTTGTTTTATTGAAAAAGGATTAAAAAAATACTCGCTATGCATAAATGTATTTCATGGTGTGGAAATGGTTTTGAAATATAATCAATATTACTGATATATTTATTCTTATTGAATTCTATCCTTATCCTTGAATAAAATGTATCTATTATACTTCAATTAAGTAACAATTAATTAAAGTCTAGACAGAGCTTTGTAGGGTACACCAATTTTGCTACATTGGCTCAACAATTGAAAGCAATGGAAGAGTGAGGAAGGATATTGAAAAAATATTAATAAACGGGCGGAAAGCCTTTGGTATGCTCAATACAATTCTCTAGAGCGAAAATATTTTTACAGAAGTAAAGAAGTTAATATATAAAGCTCTGGTAGGGAGCGTAATGCTATATAGTTCGGAAACATGGCTGCTCGAGAAATCAGAGAGCAAAAGATTTCTAGCTGTGGAGATAGATTTTTGGATATCTGCTAGAGTCTCAAGGACGCAAAGAATCAGAAACAAGACTATCAGAGAAAATATGGAAGTTGAGAATAATATACTAGAAATAATGGAAGAAAGAAGGTTACAATAGTACGGGCATATGAAAAGGATGAATAGCGAACAACTTCAAAAAACGGCATTTGAGTGGGAGGCCGAGGTTAGTTGTGGCTGAGAGTATAGCGGCCGAGGGCTGGTGGAGAGAGAAAAAATGAACAGGGATTAGTGGAAGAACCAACGGAGAGGAACTTCAACTTATGAAGAAAATGCCCTTAAAAAAAAAAAAAAAACTAAAAATTATTCAAATTATCTTATTCTCATATCTTTATGCCTGTTGCTAACACATTCTTGTGTCTGTATATTTCATAGTTTTGTTTTCAATAATAATTTTTTTAAATAGTTTAGAAAATCAGTTTCAATTTGTTTGCAATATTTCATGTAATATATGATGGATGGAGTTAATAAATGTATTAATTAAAAAACAAAAATGATGGCATAAGGTTATATATAATTCTTTGACTGATGGAACAATTTCGAGCTGAATAAAATTAAAAAGTAATAAAACAAAAAATAACAAAGTTGAAAAATAATTAATATATATATATATATATATATATATATATATATATATATATATATTGATTAAAGAAATTATATTAATTATTTTTCAACTTTGTTATTTTTTGTTTTATTACTTTTTAATTTTATTCAGCTCGACATTGTTCCATCAGTCAAAGAATATATATATATATATATATATATATATATTATATATATATATATATATATATATATATATATATATATATATATAATATATATATATATATATATATATATATATATATATATATATATATATATATACCTGATTGATATATATAACCTGTACAACTACAACCCATGAAGGGTTTTGGATTCAGTACTTTGTTGGAAAGTACTGTTACAGGGCCACTAGTTATGCTGATATATCAATGTATATATCTCAAATAACTAGGCTGTAATGATTGTTTTATTTGTTAAAGGTTTCTTCCTCTGATAGTACCCTAAGGGCTAAAACATTGGTATGAAAAAGAAATAAATAAAGTAAAACTATTGGGTTCTAATAAGTGTTGTAATTTCTTTGTTTTCTTTTACCATAATCAAAAAGTTCTAAAACTATTGAATAAAGAAACCCTTATAAAAATATATGTTAGCAGACAATGTACCAAAATTAAAAATTATATCTATGACTATGTATGATATTTAAGGGTTGAATCGTCCATGAAAATTATGGAAGTTAATCAAACACTTATTAAAATACATAAAAATTCCGTATACAAAGTCAGAAACACGGTACTTCCAACAGAAGGAGAATTTTGAAACTATTGACCTTTAATTACTCACATTGGGTCAGTAGGGCAAAAGCACCAATAGCTGACAGTGTACCAATACCCAACATCCTCCTCGAAATAAGAATAATAAAATTTCAGGACCTCCTAGACCATTGTTTCATATATTTTCTACTTGTATATTTTTTTACTTCACTTTAGCATTGTCAGAAATTACAACCAAAATAATAACTGGTAAATTAGGAAGGTCCCTCACAGGTTACTTAGTGTCTCAGGAATAACCATATCGTCAGTAAAAACACCTTACCTTAGGTTTGCTTTTTTCTGTTTTGCTGCTTAGATTTATCTCAAAAGTTTTGTTTGATTGTTTTTTGGAATATTTACATATAAAACATATATATTAGGAATTTCTCCCACAATGAAGCCAAGCTGCGTACCAGTAAGAGAAAATACCAGGTTATTTGGATTTACCAAAGATATTACAACTGTTGTATCTTCCAGCAAAAACTAAAGCCTTGATTTAATTATCTATATTTCATCATAATATAAATACTGAGGACAAAAAAAAACAAACAAGAATACAATATTTATATATATATATATATATATATATACACAGTATTAACTTCTGTGATAAAATAAATGGAGAGGTTGATACAAATGATCAACTTCACAGCAATTACACTGTTTTTTTGCAGAACAAGATGGCCCCTTGCTATATTCTATGAATTTTCATATGAGATCAGTGTTAATTAATGCATTAACAGTTTTCAAAAGCGATGATTTTGAACTAAATAAATATTATCAAAAGTAATTTAAAAAACTCTAGAACAGTCATTGGTTTTAGATAACATGATAAGAAGATCCCAAAAGCACCCCCTTGGATTTTAAAACAAAACCATTTTTATACTTAAGAGTGTTGGATTTCTTTGATTAGTTCACAAAATATGAAAGCAAATAGAGCAGACAATAAAAAATGTTGTTAGCATTGTATTCTGTCTCAGCATCAACAATATAAAATATAACTCAGTTTTTGCTGAGTATAACTAAAATATTTATGTGACACCTGTGAAAAGAGTGTTTAGTGCAATTTTGTTAGTGTTTCAAAATATAGGTGACTAGTTGAGTGTTAACCATAAAAAAAAAATAAGTTATTGTTTTTGTAATACCAGTATTGCTTATAAATTATAAATTCAGTTGGAAAGTCAACTCATATATAGATTTTGAATGATGTTGGCGTAATAAAAGGCATGGCAATAGTCCATTCCCCAACAAATAATTAATTATAAATATCTTATATTGTTTATTTACCTCAGAAATTGGAGTGGATATGTGGATTCCATCACTGTGACACTAATAAACAATAATATTCCTTTTGAAATAAAAAAAATAAGAAGTTTGATTTTAATTATTTTCCTAGACATTTATTTATCAACATAAATATTTACCCTGTCAAGATTAGTGAATTTGCTATTAGTGTTATTTCTCAATCTGTAAGAAAATCTGTACACTTCTGGATAAAGGTTAAATTAGGAGGTCTCATTGTTATCGCCTTAAAAGTCTTTGGGATAGGACGTCCTGATTCATGTTTGAATTCAGTGTTCGGACTAATGAGTTCATATTGTAAGTCAGGAGACTCTGTTGGAAGTTTTTATAGTATTGTATTGCACTATCTGAAACCAATTTTATGTTTTAGTCCTTGTGTAATAAGACATTTCCTACATAGGAAGGTGCGTCTGTAATTTTTTGCAAAATTTTGTGAATATTAGACTTTTTTTGCAGTGCCTCATAGCTTTATCCCATAAGAAAGGTTTTATGATTACTTGTAGATTGTAATTTTGTTAGTTTAGAAATTTAATTTCAAATTAAAATTTGTTTTAATAAAAATATAGGTCATTATTCATAAATAAAATTAGTTTAAATACATATGCATTGAATCCAAAAGATAAAAAATAAAAATGATTTGAATGCACTAGTGATTAGAAAAATTTAATAAGAATCACATAAAGACATGGTATCTGGATATGAATAAAGTCAAACCTATGTGTAGTGATATAATGATTCCTTTGACATTCTATGTAAAGAAAGATTGAAGTTTTTCATATTTTTTTATCTTTTATTTAACATGTACAAGCTTTGGTCAATTGTTTTACAAGAAGGTTGTTTGACGGAGATTGTGCTCAATGGCCAGGTTACTTCCTGATAAATTATTTAAATAAAAGTACCCACTTTATAAAGAGTGAGTATGCCATAGGCAGTTCTCCCAATCCCAACGCTGATCTAACATAATAAACAATTGTCCGCCACAGCCGGATTCGAACCACGGAACTGGGAGCATAGGAGAACTGTTCCTTATAATTAATATGAATGATCGTATAGATAAAGATGATTTTTTTTTTAGTTCTGAGAAAACTGAATTATCATTACCTTTATTCACTGAAAGGCAGAGATATATCTTTAGAAACATGTCTATCAAATTCATATTTTGGTTATGAAGCAAACATTGAATTCATAAGAATGGAAAAAGAATATATTAGGGTGTGATATATTAGGCTTAAAGAAGCTTCAAAATCAATGGTTTAGATTATTACATGCATGAACCTAACATCAATAGACCAAGTTCTGGTACTAGTCCAAGCTATATATATGGTTTGTTTGTGTGTGTTGGTAAATATATATGGTTTATTTGTGTGAGTACATAAATATATCATGGTGGTAGATTTTTTTTGACTACCTAAATAATGATATTTTATATTTTCATTTTTAACAAAATTTTAAACTTCAATAACAAAATATTTCTAATTTTCATAGCCTCTCACACAACGGGTCTGGCAAATACTAATGTGGAGGCCCCCATTATATGTATTTCATTTAAAAAATCATTCATATATTTCAACAAATTAAAGGATAAAATCACTTACAACCTCATCTAAAATTCTGAAATATTTTATTAACCTTAAAAATCATGGTTTTTATTACATGGTAATAATGTACTTGTAACTTCATATGCTTTTGCTTTTTAAGTTTTCAACTACCTTTTACATCTGCTAAATATCTGACTGTCTATTTTTCGAAAGTGGGTGGGGGTTTCAGTAAAGGCATTCAGTCGAGTAATCTGATGTATTATATTTTATATATTTCTATCGATACCAGATGATGGTAAAGTATGTTTGAGAATGTATTGTATACACTAGATCATTCATCGGGAAACCTTTTATTTTTAGAAGCCATAGTTAGCTAATAAAGTGGTAAGAGAGGCCACTTTATTTATTTATGGTTAAATTAAATAACTATTTGTATTATATTACATGAAATATTTTTTAAAAAATTGTAATTGATTTTCAAAACTATTTTTAATATTTATAACTAAAAAAAATATTAAAAATACAAACACGAAAAATTGTTAGAAACAGGCTTCAAACTATCAGTTAAAATAATTCGATTAATTTTAGTAAATAGGATTAAAATAAATACATTTCATGCAATGATAAGGGTAGAATTCAATCATGAAAAAAAAAAAATTTGCCATATTTGTTATATTTCAAAACCATTTACACACCTCGAAATACACATATGCATACTTTTTATATGCAACATGACTTTTTCATAAAATGATCAGTTGTAATTTTCTGGTTTATCCTGTGGTGGTAGACTGACCTGAAAATATAAATATATAATTTGTTAAGGTAACGTTTATGATATGATTTCATCAATAAGTTATGTGTATTAGATCCCTCGATAACTATTAATAATATTACATCAAAATATATTACATTGATATATGCTATTCCAAATTAGCTGTAACTTAAACACCGCATACTCTGCATTCGTAGCCTTAATTTTACAACATTAATAACTGTTATGAGGAAATAACATTTAAGAATTTTAACAAAATAAAACTCAATTCTTGCAAATGTTTTATTTTTACTTTTAGATATGTGTTGATTTAAAACAAATATAGAAAAACATTTTTTTTTTTTTTAATTAGAACTTCATCGATTTTTTTAATGTCTGATAAAATATTCTGTATAACTGTTTAACTCATTAAAATCAATTTAGAAATTAGAGACCATATACATCGAGACAGGTCAAGAAAACTTACCTGAAGTTTAGTCATCAAACATGTAGAAGGTTACTTCTTAAGTACTTAATTTAGTTTTTTTGGAACGACGGTGCCTAAATCTCTGCTAAAAATCAAGATATCTGGATTGATATAAACTAAGCTTCAGCTGCAAATGCAAATTTCTGCTAGAATATAGAAAATAAGTACGAATACATTCAGCTGCTTGCTGAATATTATCTGATTTGTGTGCCTTAAACGATCTTGGATCAAGTGTCCACACTAAATAAGACTTATTTCCCCTTTATTGTTTTAAAACATTTAATAGAATTGAAAACAATTAACTATAATTTTATCAACAACAATTATTATTACCTTGAGATGTAGTTCCAGTCTGGGTGCAGTGTGGAGGTGGTGGTGGTGCGCCAGGAGGTGCTGTACCTGTAGATGGTGGGCATCCGCTGGGTGGCATGCCACTAGGTGGGTTGCCACTAGATCCAGCTCCACTTGGTGGACCATCCTGGCCCTCTACCAGAGCCTTGATGCATTACAGAAACAATTAAACTATTTTCTTATTCCAAATGAAAACTTATATGCACAGAATAAAACAAAATCCACCACAGACTTAAGGTTGTATTACTTTCTTCTTTAACTAATACTAAGTAAATTAGAGATGTCCTAAAACTGTTAATTTAAATCATAAGTCCAAACTGTTAATACTAATTTTGAATATACTCAACTTCAGTGATTTGACCATTCATTTTATTCAAACGTTTTGGAAATCCTATCTTCTGTTAAAGCAAAAAGAATATTTAAATATTCAATACCAATGATTTTTTTATTCTATAAAAAGGACCGATAAATCACTACTTTTGAGATCATTTCAGTTAAGAGGAAATGTGTCATTGTTACACAGTGCACAGACTACAGGAATGTATAAATATGAAAGTTACAAATTCACCATTTTCACATATCGGTAAAACTTGATGGAACATACTGACCCTCTTTCAAAGACTGAATGCATTGTAGAAACAATTGAGTTATGAAAATGAAGTTATTTATTGACAAAAATAAACATTTGTCTCTATTTTAAGGTTTTATTGTTACTCTCTTCATATAATACTAAGTAAATTAGTGATAGACAAAGCTATTTATTTAAACCATTTCTTTTACAGGTACAATTTAACGAAAATTACTATCTTAACTTCAGTGACCTCATAATTCATTTTATTCTAACTTTTTAAAAAAAATCTATCTTCTTTTAGTATATAAAATATTTAAATTTTCAACAGCTCTGAATTCATTTGAGGCCTTAAAAGAAGGAGCACATCACTCTTTTGCTGGAAGGCATAGTATTTAAATACAATTTTCATGAACTGATAGTTTTGTTATAGTTACAACCAGGATCTACAAAAGTAATTAACAACAATTACTTAAAAAAGTAACAGAAAACGAAAATACTTATGGTAATGAATTTGCTTATTTTACAAAAAATTTAAAATATGTGAATGCTAGTTCATTGGTATGGCACTGGAGTTAGTCCTTCTCAAGTTCTTTCCTTTAACTGCTAATTTAATATTAGCTCTAAACTTTACTAAATACTGTACAAAAAACGTTTGTATAAGATTTATTCAACAGCTTAATATGTAAATACTGTGTTTTACACAACTTTCGGTACTCCTGTTATTATTCTAAGTAATGATAATATTTTTTTAACTCGATAATAACACTCTCAAAACTAAAGATAGATGAAAATTGTCTGCTATTTAAAAAAAATAAAAATATGAAGATTTATGAGTAATCGGTTTTTATAAACATTACCAGTGCTATAGCGATGACAGACAAGACCAAAGCTGCCTTCATGTTGTTGGAAGACGACTGAAATACTAAACTGCCAGATGGCATTATATATTCACCAAAATACAAAAGGACGCTACTCCATAATTCACTTCAACTTTGTTTAATGGGCTCAACACCGGAATTTGGTTGTTAACTCGCTGCGTAACAGCTTTTTATTCTCATTATTTCATAAATATAGAGTAAGACCTTGATTTAATTTGACAATGACAAATTGTAGTTTGTTTGTATGCTGTTAATATTTAAACAAATAATTATAAACGAATCCGAGTTTTCAATGAAAATTTATGTTATGACTGAAATAATCAAGATTAACAGAATGTATTTGAAAGAAAGAAAGTAAATTCTATTCTGGAACATTTAGTCCCTTCAGAATAACTATAAAGAAACAAAGAAATGACAAGGAATAAACAAATTTGAGGATTGGGATCTCGTGTTGAACGAATGAACAGATGAACAAGGACGAAATAAATCAAGAAAGTAAGAAGGTTTTTTTGTTGTAAAAGTTCGGAAAATGAATATACTTAGGATATATTGCCGTCGGAAAACTAGATAGAGCCACTTCAACTTATCATAGCAACAGGATACGTCTGAGTGCCTGGGGAATCCAAGTATAAATCTAATGAAACAATTAATTAGCCTCTGTAATAGTATTTCTTAATAATACTTTAATAGTAACTCTTGTATGAGTGTCTGTTAGCAACATATCTCAAAAACTGAAAGATGTACGACACTAATTACATTTTAAGGTAGGTTATTGTATTGGATGTGGCAGGAACATTGCTAAAATCGACTTACCAGAAATGGCATTTTATATAATTTATTTTACACAGTTTTACTATTTTTCTAAAACGGTCATGGACTTAGCAAAGAAAAGGAGAGGTGCAAGATCTGAACTACAATTTTTACCAGAAGTTATAAGCTTAATAAAACAAAACATGTTTAATTGTTTCCCAATAAAAACATCATTTATTTAAACTTCTTTTTTGGTTTCCCAATTTCTAATGGTGCTCATATAGTAATGGAATGGACTTAATTCGTAACAAATAATAATAATAATAATACTAATTTAACTTTTATTTTAATAATTGAGTTTTTTAAATATACCAATTGGTGAATTATGTACTATATTGACAATTCTCATAATTAAAAGGATAATACGAAAACGCTATCCCTAGATAGCTACGTTAAGCTATCTATGGTAGCATAGAAATAGTTATCTACAATGCACCGACTAGACACAAGACCCATTATCAATACTTAAGGAACAATAACAGATTTCAGCAAAAAGGTCTCGTCCTCACAGATTTCATATCAATTCTAAAGGGTAAGTATATTAATTCTTAATAGTTAAACTTCTTTCACACGCTTCCTATACCTCCCAAAATTTTTAGGTATCCCATGCTCCTCAGAACAAATCACTCTTGGAGTTACATTCTTGAAGTCACACTCTTGTAGGAGACCTGAAGTGAACTCGTGCAGTCAACCCATATATTCATAGTATCACTCTGTATTTTAAGATGCCATTTGTAACAGACATCATGAATAAAAATATTAATTTTAAAGTCTTCACTGCATCCAGAACGTTAACTATATGAAAGATTACGATACGACGCATGTAGTGTTGCTCAAAATCGATCTTGGTGTTGCACTTTCCAAGACCAATACCAAGATCGCTTAATCGTTGCAAGACCAATACCGGTAAAAAAAACAACAAGTTTTGTGAATAAAAGTCAAGACGAAATAGTTTCTAATACTAGACAGTTTTATTTACTATATGTAAATAATGTAAAAATCGGGCCAGTTTTAGCAACATTAGAGTGTATTGAATTTTATATACTGATTATAATAATCATTTACTTGCCCGCTAACATTGTTTTAGTTCATAAAAAAAATCGTACCCTAATGATTTCTTTGATAGGTTATCGGGAAAATTATCTAATAATCTAATAATCTAATTCAATTGTGTTATTTTTAATGAAGATTTTTAACATTAAAAAAAAGTTTAATTATTATAGGTAGGAAAATGATCTGAGTTGACACCAGATTTTTTATTTAAATAATTGTAATTGTCTATACTCTACAACTCTTCAATTCCGAAGTGGGGACCTACGACAATCTTTCTTGACAATTCCTTTAATGTTTTTTCAAGTTAATTTTATTTATTTAGTTGGACTTTACTATGTTTATGGCAATAAAACATCTAAATGTACCTATTCTGTAGCATGTTTAATAAATAGCAATAACCTAGTACGTAACTGAAAGACTTTGCTAAACTCTTGCGCAAGACCAAGACCAGGATTAAGACCAAGTGTTCAAGACAATGATTAGTACTTGTTTGTTTGTTTCGATGTCTAGGCGCAAAACATCCAGGTTATAAGCGCAGGCGATTAGTACTGGTTTTGCCTTTGGGCAACAATAGGCGCATGCGCGACGGAAACCATCGAAATTCGTGATTTGAAGAATAACTATTTGGTTGTCCGTAAATTAATACAGGTTTATAGTTTTAAATTAAAACAAATAAAATAAATGATATAAAATTATTTAAATTAATCAAAACACACGCAATTATTTCTTCATCCTCTCTGAATAGAATGTTTAATGGATATTATTAGCATATTCTAAATATACATTATATTTTAAAAAGTGGCAAAGATGTCTAAAAAAAACAGTACTTAGTCAGTAGGCCAGAGGTCCAGACAGTATGGTTGCTGAAGTTTGTGTCTGTTCGGTAAAGTTCAACGAACTTTCAACTTGCATTGAGATGGTCAGCAATGGTCAACCGAGAGTTTATTTGCAAGTTCTCAAACTATTATTCTGAGATTTTCTTTGACCAAAGCTCCCAGAACATCGTTATGTTTGAATTTACCGTTAATGTATATTTTCTATTCGAGTAACTTTTAAAGATTCAATAAATGAATATGAGGGAAATATTAGCAATATTTGAAATTTTATGGAAGAATGAATGATTATTTTATGCAAATGAGAAATACTCTCATTGGAAGCCGTATACATTACTCCACGTGGATATTCTTATGCAATGGATCCGGTAATGTTATTAAAAAAAAAAAAAAAAGAAGAAAGAAAAAGAATAGACGAACAGAAAAAAAATGATATAATTACTGATATTTATCTGTATATAAAAGACTGGCTTTGATACTGTTTATTTAAGGTTCATTGTGGAAATATAGTGATACAACATCGAAGTGATGAAGGAAATAATGGTGGTATCAATTTTTGTCGTTTTATTGGTGAGTGTTAAGGTAGAGGCTCTTAAATTTTTGTAATCCTCTCCTTGAATATATATATTTTTTTTATGGTCTCTACTTGAACCCTAAATATTTATTATCGTTAAGTGAATAATTGTTTATACTAATAACTAGTTAAAAACGATAAATACAAAAATATAAAACTCTCAGGGGTTCACAGCAACAGTAAATATTTTTTCTGAGTTTTCTATGAGGTTTATTTATATTGAATCAAGAACAACCATACTTATTTTTTTTTTTATTTCATAAAAATGAATTGACTTTTCGGATTGTCTCTTTCAACATAACCATTTCTAACAAGATTCCTGTTATTCCATTGTCTAACATAATGAAATATTTTTGCAGGAACATCATGGACAGCTCTATAAGTTTTACTTTCATTAAATAATAATAATAATAATAAAAATTAAATGAGGCGTCCTCAATTTGCCTAAAGTCTGTAATTATGTCAAAAACCATTTCTTCCACGAATTTAAGTATATTTTTCTTAAATGTAGTTTTATAAATTTTAAAAACCAATTAAAAATATAGGTGACAGCTTCACGTGATGAAGAAAACGGCAGTACAAGAGGTTTCAAGATTCGATCAAGAAGTAAAAGATCTGCTGATTCTAAATATCAAACTATACCTCCAACAATCAGACCATGTAAATTTTAAATTTTCATTTTGTTATTTTATTTATTTTGTTTTTTATAGTGAATATAGTTTATTTATAGTTTCATTTTATATTTTAGCCACTGGCTCCCCTACTGCTCCAAGGGGTTTGAAGTTATGATAAAACAGGATGTTAACACTGTAAGCAGACCATGGCACTACTGGAATATAATTTTATTTAATAACGTATAATCAGTATTTTTTAATTAGTTATTTGATTTTTTTTGTTATTATCGTTATTAGTCATTTAAAATATTATATAAATTTATTAAAAATAAAAAAAAATCTTTGCATATACATATAATGTACATTTTTATTTTTGTTCTCTGAAATTAGTAAAAAAAAAATTTTCTTTTTTCTCAATATCGTGGAAACCCCACACTTTCTGAAATAAAAAATCTGAAGTAACGTCTCAATTATTTTTCAATACTTATACATCAAATTTAGATTTAAAAATTATCAGTTCTTAGCTTATTATTAGTTGTTAATTATTTTATTGAAAATAAGTTACATGTTCATGATTAAATAATTATATTTAAATATCTATGTTTAAGGTATTTAATTGTTATAAGATTTTTTTTCACTCTTATTTTAAAGCTTTTATATATATATATATATTTTTTCTTTTTTTTTTTTTTTTTTTTTTGGAAAAATCTGTTTTGAATATAATATTTAAGTCGGTTTCTTATGTTTTTATTTTCTTGTTCTCTTGAAAGCAAAACAAATTGTCACAGATTTATTATTTTTTTAAAAAACTTCAGAATGAGTAGATCTATTATTCTGTTTCATTGTGAAGCATTCTTTTTTCTTAAACAAATTTTATAATGTAAATACTAATCTACTAGTAAATAAAGTAACAATCAAGACTGCTTAGTTAAGGTTTGTATTTAAACAAAATAATTGAGAAATACATATATTTAATATTTAATTATATATATATATATATATATATATATATATATATATATATATAATTTTAAATATACATATTATTAATTTATCAAACGATTTGTAAAGCAATATAAAAAAACAAGAAGAATCATAGGATTAAGTCACGAATTATATTCGAATTAGACGAACCTATTAAAATTCCACTCGAGCCATTTTCGTGATATACGGTGTGATGAGTGCATAGCTTTAATTCCACTGCTAATGATATCTTTATGATTTTAATGATTTATGAATTTAAATCTTATTTAAAATTTGTAGAAAATAAATTTATACTGTTGAGTAATAATATAACATTATTGAGAAAAATAGTAGTCATATCGCTGATGGAAAATAAATATATAATAGGCTTGAATTTTAAAGCCTTTGGCTGTAGAAAGTCTCAATCGTCTTACGTGTGTTTATTTGATGTTCTGATTTGATTAAAAAAAAAATTATATTTGATTAAAAACTTCTGTAATTTTAGTCATGTGGACTGTTCATCTTCAACACAACTTAAATAAACCTACACAAGTTTCTTCACTTTGTTTACTGAAAGGAATTGTGTGTATCTTGTCAAGATGAGATTTTGGACGAAGGATAAGTGAAAATATATTCCCGTTCGCTCTTTTACACGCCTCGCTGTTTATCGTGGGTTCGCAATATTTTTTCAAAAATACCATCATTCTAAGTAAATATGAGCAGAAAGAAAACATCTATTTCTTCTTTGAAAGAAACATTCATGTGATGGAAAAAAAATCTAACCCTCTCATGGACACAATAATTGTTTTCAGGTAATTTTAAAGTGGCACGTTCATTTAAGTACAGATAAAATAAATTATATAAATAAACTCAGGCCCGATATGCCTGCAACATAATATAGAATAGAATAGAAAAAATACTTCTGGGTAGATGATATGTTATATAAATAAAATTAAAAAAAAAAGTATTAAACAAATAATATATACATACTAACAAACAGAACTATGTACAATGTAATCAAATGAGAAATTGACACAAAATATTTGCATCTTTTAAGAGAGAAAAAAAGACAGGGTGGAAAATAAAATAAATTAAACTCCTCTAATGGTTTCAATGAATAAAAGAAACTACATCATTTACTTAAATAAATTTTGAAATACATATTCAAATATGTATTTCTCGTATATTCGAGGGGTAAATAAATTTTAAAAATTGGATATGTATGTGCTGTATAAAACGTTTATACATAAAATATGGAGCTTAAAAAAAAATAAATATTTGGGAATAAAAATATAATCTATTTATGGTTAATATTATTTATATGTAATGTTATTGTAGATTTAATGAAACGTATCTGTCTTAAGAAGCATCAGGTATGTCAAACATTAATAAAGGCTATAACGTAATCAATTTTATCAAAGTTTTCACCAATTTGTGTTTTTTTTTTCGATATAACTATAATCCTTCAAAATCACTTTCTCCCGAAGATTCTATTCTAAAACGAAAAAAAGCTTGAATTTTAACCAAGTTCCAAATAGACATTGAGAAATGCTATAATGACCCTGTTTGACTGATCATTTATAATATTGTCCAGAAAAAAAATATGCCAAATAACTTTTTTTTAATCATCTTCCTCCAAAAGTTTCTCGACTAATTGGTATCTTTTTTTTTTTCTACTCCTCAGTCAAAGTTTCCTAATTTTCTTGATTGATGATATAATTCGGAATATCTTTCATCATTAATTAATTTTAATATAATTGGTTTAGGAATATTTTCTGAATATATTAAGTGGAGACTGCGAGTGGAAAAACTTTAACCTAAAAAGCCTCGTAATATATAAGCATAGTATTTGTTTTTTAAATCTTTCGGTTTCTAATGTAATAATGCATAATTATAATTAAAAAACGTTGCAAATTATTTCACAATGGTTTATTATTTCCACAAAAAAATATCTAAAGAAACAAACATCACATTCCTAGTAACGAAGAGAAAGAAATAAAAGGTGATTTCTATTATTGACCCAAACATTTTTATTTCATCATTAGTAATTTGATAAAAAAAAAATAGCATTACTTCGGTAACACATTCAAAAAACAAAACAAAGGGTATAACCCTTGCAGAAGAACATATAAAAATATTTAAACACCTTATCGTTGTACCACATTGTCCGATAGGACATTTCGTAAACTTTTAAGAAACATAAACAACATCCACAAAAAAGTGAATACTTTTTGAGTTATTCGAAAATTTAATTTTACCACCCCTCGTAACTTTTTTTCTAGCTTCTTTTCTTCCGGGTTGTCTTGAAGTAAGTTATATAGATAAATATAAAGGGCATCGAGAAGAAGACTTTAACCAGGTTTCATTGAAATCAGTAAATTCGTTTAGGCGCTGCAGCCTATAGCAACACACGTTTTTCGGCTGCCATCTTGAAAGGAAAAGGCAGATAGTAATGTCGATGTAGAAGAATCATCCTCGGGTGGCCTCTAGATTTAAAAATATGGAAAAAAATCGGTCCAGTACTTTCGGATAAAATGCGTGGACGGCAGAAGGTCAAACAAATTTTAGATTCTATATTTGAATTATACGTATTCTGAAACGCATAACCCCAAATTTTGAAGGAGGTTAAGTTTTTTGATTTTTTTGGTCGATTACAATGGTTCATTATTGAAAATAATAAACCAAAATCAGTATAGTGGTTGATGATATTCGTACTTAGTGTTATTCCTGTACACTAGCGGATCCAGGATTTAATTTTGGGGGAAGGGCTCTGCCCGAAAGATTTTTTTTTCATATACATATAACGATAATTAATTTGAAAAAAAATAAAGAAATTAATTACCTATATGAAATGGTGTTTAAGTGGTTCTTGAAGTCGTATTAAATATAATTACACGAACAAGAATACTTTAAGAGATAGTTTTTAATCTTTTTTTTTTTTTAAAACATGGTTATATTTTGCCATTTTGGGGGGACTTCAGCCCGAAAGTCCCCTCCCCCCGTAGATCCGCCTGTTTTCCTGTACAAAAAACGAGTTAAAAATATATATTAAAAAATTATATTCTATCAAATAATTCTTAAACTTTATAACCTGTATAGGTAATAATGAAGACCTAGTATTGTGTTAAATTTTGTAGGTCAGCCTGTTTCTTTCCCTTTACAACTCGGAGCGGCGTTCTTATAAATTTTCTAGACCCTTTATAGCGGCCATTATTTCTATAACTGTCCACGCTAAGGGTCAGCAAATCCGAAAGGACATGACGACAAGATGTTATCTCTTCTAAAGTTACGATGTTGGCTTATTAAATTTAATTTCTTTTTATAAACTAAATGCTATAAATAGTCAAAAAATTTCACGTATTATCAAAAAATTTCACTCAAATAATCATTCTGTCCGAATACTGAGGACCGAGTACTTGAATTATTTCCAGTGGCTTGGAGATAAACCAAGGGCCCAGATATAATTTTTACAGGCCCCTGTTAAACATTACTACAAAAAAATATATTGTGTAAGGAAATTACATCATTATATATACGTAATGTTATCTATACTCCATTTTGGTTTAAATTTAAAAAATATTTATCAGGCATGCCCATTCTCCCTAATGTATTACGTGCACATTCTCCTTCCTTCCCAAAGAATATATTCATCTTCCTTCTTAAAAATAGTTCCAAGGAAAAGCGAAATTGGAAAAATTTTAGATCATGAACAATTACTACACTTACATGTTTCATTTACATGTTTTTCTAGTTATTCACTGCTTTCGAAGTTCCATCAAATCGAACCTCAAAGAAATATAGTTATTTACACAAGTTAATAATCCCATTATAATGTGTTCCTTTTAAAAATTCAAAATTATATAAAAAATTGTCTCACTCAATTTTTTTAATATATTTATTTATGATATTTACAACTGTATTAAGAATAAAAATACATTTTGAAAACGTGATTACAGAAAATAATAACATGAATACACTTGTTGAGAAATTGCCCACTGGTAGCACTCTAAAGAATGTATTTAGGAGAGGAGATCTCGAGGCCATCTTCTTTAAAAAAAAAAAAATAATTGTACAATTCACGTCATGCAACTCCCTTATTAGTCGGAATTATTTTACGAGTATGTTTAAGTATGTAATCGAGTATGTGAGTATTTGTCGAGTATGTTTAATAGTAATCGAATATTTCATTCAAAAGAGTGAATGGGTACAGTATATTTTGGATTCCTTCGATATTAAAATACCATACCTTTTA